AGTTGTAAGATGGAGAAAATTGTTAACTATATATAGCACCATATATGCTAATTCAAATGGTTCTGTTAAGAGTTTGCTTTGAGTTGTAAGATTGAGAGAATTGTGACTATGTATAGCAATACTTTATGTTAACCTGTTAATGGTAATGATGAAGCTAAGGGATTCTTTAAGTTTGTAGTCGCCTTAAAGAGTTTTTGGTTTAGAAAGAGCTTGAGTTAGCTAAGACTGCTGTAGTCACCTTGGACCTAATTCAAAAGAGAAATGCCATCTTTATCATCCTCTACTCCCATACTGGGAGGTGTATCAGCTATGGAGATTGCTGTAAGCCATGAATAGTTATTTTTTATATATTAAGAAAGGGGGACCTGTGGGAGCCTGTTCTCGGGGTCCTCGTGGCTTTACCCAGCAGGTCCAGATAGAGGATGATTAGGACCATGGGCCTGAGTGCAGGTGTCTGAGATGGTCTGCACTTGGCTGTGCTGGGGGAGGAGGGCTCTATAAAAACCTTGGGGCAGAGACAGTCGGGGCCCATTGGAAAAGGTTCTAGGCCCTCTCGAGGCTATCCTTTATTTTCTATCTGTTTATCTCTGTAAGATTCTCTGCAATAAATCCTTCTATCTAATATTTCCTGCTGCTCACACTCAAGAAAACTCTGGGAAGCTGTGGGGTTGGTGGGTAAACGCCCCACAGATGACAATCTAGAGTACTGTAACATAGGTCAAATGTATAAAATGTATTTATATCTTTTCAGCTATAGATACATACACAACGTGTGTTATTGGGAGATATACACGTTATCTATATAGAGTCAGGTACACAGGCTGTATCCCAGGCTGACCTGAAACTCTATTATGTACAGGATCACCTGGAACTTCTCATCCCCTGCCCTCACTTCCAGAGTGCTGGGATTACAGGTGTGCACCACCATGCCCAGTTTATGCAGTGCAGGGGATCGAACCCAAGGCTTCATGCATAGCAGGGCGCACTGCCACCTGAGTACAACCCAGCTCACAGATGTGATTTCTGATGGACTTTACAATGAGAAGGACTTCCAGGTAACTTTTACCCTCTTCTTTTTAAAAAGGCTTATTTTTAAAAAATTTTAATTTATATGATTCTGCCTGTCTGTCTCTCTGTGTGTATGTGTGTGCACATATGAGTGTGGGCGCCCTCAGATCAGAGGCACCGGATCCCTTGAAACTGGAGTCACAGGGAGTTGTGAGCCATCCCACATTGGGTTGTTGGGAACTGAACTCAAGTCCTCTCCAAGAGCAGTAAGCATTTTTAACGGCTAGGCATTGTTCCAGCCACTTTATTCTTTTAAGATCTTTAGAGCTTCCTAAGAACTTCTAGATTTGAAGATTTACAAGGTTTTCAAAAATAACTGACATTGCATTACAAGTCTCTGATTTCCACAAAATGTTCCATGTAATTTTTCAAAGATATAAAAACCATTTTTGCATTTAAATAAACATCTTGAAATAGAAGATGGGACTGTGAGGCAGCATGAGGTTTCTCACTTGTAAACTCAATCAGAAAGCCCCAGAATCCAGAAACCCTGAGACATGAGGCTCACGGCACCACCTCGAGTAAGGGAGCTGGGTTCTTATGTCACCTTGTACGTTGTGATCTTCAACTGGTCTCCCAGAGTCTGCAGATGAGAGGCACCATCGTGGGTAGCAAAGGGTGAGGCCAGCATCCTGACTGGCTTGTCCAGCTGTTCCGTGGTGACGCCTTGAAATTAGGGTAACATATTTCAGGCTGCTTGCATTCAGGATTTTAAAGGTTTGTTTATCTATTTAACGTGTATGTGTGTGCCTGGAATATACATACGTGAACCACATACCTGCAAGTGCCCTCAGAGGTCAGAGAAGAATACCAGGACACCCTGGAACTGGCGTTGCAGTATGAGCCCTCTGATATGAGCACTGGGAGCTGAGCCCGGGGCCCCTCGAAGAGCACCAAGTGCTCTTAACGCTGAGCCATCTCTTCGGCTCCCACAGCAATTAAAGCCTATATTTAATGTATAGACTTCAATGTTCTACTACCTTTATTTGTTTGTTTGTTTGTTTTTTCGAGACAGGGTTTCTCTGTGTAGTTTTGGTGCCTGTCCTGGATCTCGCTCTGTAGACCAGGCTGGCCTCGAACTCACAGAGATTCACCTGGCTCTGCCTCCCGAGTGCTGGGATTAAAGGTGTGCGCCACCACCACCCGGCTCTACTACCTTTAATCTTATTTTTATATATGTATTTCATTCCCTAAGTGTGGATACATATATATTTTCCCACCTAGCCACCTCTGTGCTGCTATTAAAACTCCTCCAGGACGTACTTATCATTTCCTGACTTTATTTTTTTTCAGCTTCCTTCTTCAGTTTCTCCAAGACCTCTTCTGGAGTCGTCGAGGCCAAGAGCTTCACCACCTTTTCCCGAGATTTACCACCCTGAATCAGAAAGAAAGACACACTTAGCATCCCAGTAGGGGCAGGAGCACAGACCTCTGTCCTCACAGGGTGTCACGGATGGCCTCTCCCGAGAGCCTACTGTAATGGTTTAAAAGAAAATGGCCCCCAAAGGGAGTGGCGCTATTAGGAGGTGTGGCCTTGTTGGAGGAAGTGTCACTGTGGTGGCAGGCTTTGAGGTCTCTTTTGCTCAAGCTTCACTCAGAGTGACACTCAGTCCACTTCCTGCTGCCTGCGGATCAAGATGTAGCCAACACCATGTCTCCCTGGATGCCGCCATGCTCCTCACCATGATGATAATGAACTAAACCTCTGAAACTGTAAGCCGCTCCCTCAATTAAATATTTTCTTTTATAAGCATTGCCGTGGTCAGGGAGTCTCTTCACAGCAAAGGAAACTCTAAGACATCTAGGCACTCTCTCCCCTGGACACTTCTACTTTACAACAAATTTGTAGGACTCTCCTGAGTTTTTGCCTTTTATTTCAACTTTTATAATAAAAGTCTAACATTAAAATTTCAAGATGAATGTTTACGATACTCTATTTTTTTTTTTTCTAAGACAGGGTCTCATGTAACCAAGATTAGTTCAAACTAATATATAGCCAAGGATGAACTTGAACCCTTGATCCTTTCTGTCTCTCTCAAGTGCTGGGGTTACAGGTACTTCCCACAATGCCTGGCCAATATTCTAATTTCAAGTAATTTGTTTAAATTACAAAGGAAAATAATTTAAAAATATTAACTATGAAAATTTAGTATAAACTTTTTATGACACCTAAATATAAACAGATTGCTTTTTAAATTGTTACATATTTCTGAAAATTTCAAACAAAAAGCAACCACACATCTAAGTACTATGATTTCACAATCATCTAAAACAACTCTTAAAAAGATTTATTTGAAATATACCTTTTATAAATCACAGAATTTGAGCAGGAATTTATCTAGATGGACTGTGTGTGTGCACACAGAAGAGTGGAGCATGCCGCTGGGCTGACGTTAGACCCAGAGCACTGCCAAGGTCAGACATGATCTGCCACAGGTTGGGGAGGTAAAGGAAGTGGCCTGATCAAATGGATTCTTAGGTGAAGATTATTAATGGATCATTAATCAAGTCATTGATTAGTCAATGACTTTAAATGGAACAGATATGAACTGCAGGGTACATATAGCACTAGAACACAGGCAGAGCTTTAAAAACATTGTGAGCCATCCCACATTGGGTTGTTGGGAACTGAACTCAAGTCCTCTCCAAGAGCAGTAAGCATTTTTAACGGCTAGCCATTGTTCCAGCAACTTTATTCTTTTAAGATCTTTAGAGCTCCCTAAGAACTTCTAGATTTGAAGATTTACAAGGTTTTCAAAAATAATTGACATTGCATTACAAGTCTATGATTTCCACAAAATGTTCCATGTAATTTTTAAAAGATATAAAAACCATTTTTGCATTTAAATAAACATCTTGAAATAGAAGATGGGACTGTGAGGCAGCATGAGGTTTCTCACTTGTAAACTCAATCAGAAAGCCCCAGAATCCAGAAACCCTGAGACATGAGGCTCACGGCACCACCTCGAGTGAGGGAGCTGGGTTCTCATGTCACCTTGTACGTTGTGATCCTCAACTGGTCTCCCAGAGTCTGCAGATGAGAGGCACCATCGTGGGTAGCAAAGGGTGAGGCCAGCGTCCTGACTGGCTTGTCCAGCTGTTCCGTGGTAATGCCTTGAAATTAGGGTAACATATTTCAGGCTGCTTGCATTCAGGATTTTAAAGGTTTGTTTATCTACTTAACATGTATGTGTGTGCCTGGAATATACATATGTGAACCACATACCTGCAAGTGCCCTCAGAGGTCAGAGAAGAACGCCCTCTGATATGAGTGCTGGGAGCTGAGCCCGGGGCCCCTCGAAGAGCACCAAGTGCTCTTAACGCTGAGCCATCCCTTCAGCTCCCACAGCAAGGAATTTCAAAGCCTATATTTAATGTATAGACTTCAATGTTCTACTACCTTTATTTGTTTGTTTGTTTGTTTTTTCGAGACAGGGTTTCTCTGTGTAGTTTTGGTGCCTGTCCTGGATCTCGCTCTGTAGACCAGGCTGGCCTCGAACTCACAGAGAT